CTTTGTCTGGCGATCCAAAACCAACTTCATGGACGGTCCGTGTGGAGAGTGGCTTTACCGAGCCACCGTGGGCCTCATTTGGTATTTCGACTGGTTTAATGTGGGGGAGGGGAGGACCAGGTTCAGGACTCTGATCTACCACGGATACATGCTGATTGATATTTCACTCCTCTGTGGATTGTGGTGCTGGAAAATGATCACAGAGCCGCCATATTTTGAAATTCCACCTCCATGTGCTATAATAACTGCTGTTTGTGTTTGTGCATTTTACGTCCTCGGCCTCGTCTTTAAAATGATTTATTACAAGTTCTGCCATCCAAACCTTGTCAAAGCGGATTTGGAAGGGGATGACTCTGAAATGTCCTCAACGTTGTCTGAAAAAAATTCTGAAGATGTGCCAGACGCTGTCTTATTTCATTCAGCTGCGGCTACACCCATCATGGAAGACGACTCGGGCGTTACAGTTCGCAGATTTCCAGTCCTCCTGAACCTCAACCTAAACTCTGCAATAAAAGAATGAGGAAGTTGGCCGAGAACTTCTACTCCTGACCTGGGTCACTTGACATCCACAGGGGGGTTAGAGACACGGTCGTGCAGTGTTGTGGTTTGTCTCGGATATAGGTGACGATCACCTGGTTCATGGTTACCCACAGACGCAGCATGATGAGTGACATATGCGCTGCATCAGCTCGTGAAGCAGTACAACACAAACTATTAAGCTGTGGTCGATATTTAAAGCTCCTGTGAGGATTTTTTTGCTTTTCATGAAACAGACTGAACTTAATAGTGACGTCTCTTCATGACTCAAAAACATCAAACAAAACCATCAGCAATACCGTGGACTTTTTCTATACGTTTATATTTGATGACTGAAACTGCTTCTGCAGGGTCGTTGTCAGATGAAGTGATTAACATCCGGCTACAGAAACAAACATATTTCCTTTTACTTTTCCAATGGTAAGAATTCTCAAGGAATGAAACATTTGGAAATACTTCAGTTAAAAAAAAAGCACAGTTTTTTTCGGTATTGAAAACACTACTTGCACTGTTTTCACATTATGCACTAGAGAATTTCAAGTGAACCGCCCCTGGAGTCCTCCTGACTTACTCGTTTACACATCATGTTGGATCAAGCATCAGTGTATGCTCTACTACACTATAAGGGCCTGTGTCCACAGACGGAGCTGTGCCTCCACAACCTCTGTTTCATAGCACTTCTCACCAGCTGTAATGCTGTCATCTGTAATGTGTGTTAGGTGTGTTTGAGATGGCTCAACGTGCTTAATAGCTACTTTAATTCAATTCAAGGAAATATCACAAAGAAAACATGAAAACAATGTAAATGAATCATGTCCTGGTTTTAACAGCAGCTCTACACCTGGAAACACTTAAAGGACAGTGTCTTCCGCCATTGTTGTTGACAAAGCTGATATCAGAAGTCCCGCCCCTTCTTGATTTTGAATGGTCGGTGAGAGAGAAGTGACATTAAAGAGCACAGGGCTGTTGAAAAAGTTAAACAATTTGAAACAATTTTGGAACTTAGAGTGCTGTGAATACAGAGACAGAAAAACGCTGTCGCCTCTGTGCTCTGCAGAACATTTTTTATGGGTCTGGCAGAAGAACTGTGCGAGTGTGAAAGCCATATTACACTGACAAAAAGAGTATAATTTTGTCCACAGGGGGCGCCAAAAGTGACACAAACTGAATGTTGCTCACAGAAGCTTTAATGTTATTCAAGTCAGTCTTAGTTATATTGACATGCCTACATGAACAATATTTAATCTGTCAGTATTTTCACGATTTCATGACGTTTCATGAACTTCTTATCTTACCACTGACATGTCACTCATTTATCTGTTATCTGCTCGACTGTCAGTGCAGCTTAGCAAACAGCCGTGCATTGATAGAGTCTGTTAGGGGTTTAACTCCACACTACTTTATGTAACCACTTCATGAGACACACTGCTGGAAGATACAGAAACATAGTCCCTATCCTGCGTCAGCTGTTTATTATTTATTTTTTCTGTTTATTTCTTGAATTTGTTGACATTGTGAGATTGTGTAATATTCTTAAATAAAGTCATTTGAAGAATGCAGCCTTCTCTGAGCCTTTGCATGTTGGTGCACGATCCACACAGATTATCATCTCATTTTTCAATGAATGAAAAAACATTAAAAAAAAAGATTCAACTGAGCTGTCACAAAGCGTTTCTTCTTTCCCATCACGGTGACTACAGGGAGACACCGCGGAGGCTTATCTACGGTGCTCCTAAAGGGACAAAACAACACGAGATTAATCGTGATTAACTAATGAGCGCTGACAGCCCGTGGCATTGGAAAGAAAAAGAAGGAGACGTTGGAGAGTATAGCCCATTAAACATCGCATGGTCACTTTCTTTGACAGCCATGATATACTTCAATATGAACATGACATGCAGACAAAGTAAAGAAATCAAACAAAGACACATTCAGTAAGCATATCTGACCTGCATTAAAAATACCATGTGGCCTCATGTCACTCGTGATTGTCTCTAGGCGTCGACGCTGAGCAGTTCACAGCAGAGAAAGAAAGTCTTTAAAAAAAAAAAGAAGCAATGTCTAGAACAAAGCAGGTTGTTGACGATGAGATGGTGACAGGTACAACTCTCCTAGTTCGTCCCGTCAAATAATGAGATATCTACATTTTGGAACCGTATCTGCTAACAAAGGGAACTTTGAACCGTCTTAAAGAGACTTTCTGAATACAGTGCAGACAAGAAAATCAAACAAAAGTTACAAAAAAAAAAACAACTTAAAAAGAAGTCGAGTTAAAATAAAAAGAGTAAAGTAACACTTTGGATAGTACAACAATGCAGTGATACATGTATCAAACGATAACAGCGGTACATATTTCCCTTTGAGATTACGCATACAGACGCATGGATAAAAGGCACGATATAAATATGCACAGTCACACAAACACATTAAACAGAAGTACACATTCTTAACGGTCGAGCTGCGTGTGTGTAAATCGTCTTCAGGCTCAGTATTGTTCACTCCTCAGTCTCCGCCCCCTCCTGCTTTTGTCAGGAAACAAATAAAAACCCTTGAAGTAATGTGAAAAGTAGAAAAGTATTGCACAGTCATCGTCTGTGGGGCTTTTCTCCCCCTCTGTACGACTTGTAAGGATTGGGAGTTGTCATGAGGCAGAGGGATGAACTTAATCGTTGCGTGAATCAGTCGGATGTTTTAAGTTAACTGAGGAAATTAAGATCATCGATGACGACCTGGAGCGGAAAACAAAGGGAGATTTTCTGGCAACAACTGACGACGAGCATGAAGAGTGAGAGGCTTGAAGAGCTCAAAAAGATCCAGCAGGACTTGCAGTGTGAAGATCAACGTTATTACTTTTATTAAACCGCACTGATGAGGACCACGAGCCGAAACGAGTCGGTCCTACAAGATGAAGAAAGTGAATCTTCATTCTTCAAGTGTTTCTGGAGCTTTTTGACCTCTGACACTGAAACTAAAAAAAGGTTATGTGAATTTTACTACGCAACACATTTTACATCCCGGGTCCACCTAGCGTTTTATCCGGGCAGAAAAGCGCTTTCTGTGCGCTCAGGAGTGTTCGCATGAATCTTTTGTGCTCCGAGAAGAAAAGCGCTGCACGTCCGTCCTGTCTCTATGACAACAGTATGCTGACAACTGCCACCGTATGACCGACACAGCTCCGTTTACTTTTTACTGTTCGCTTTATATTTGTGAGTACAAGACACGATCCGTGGGCGGAAAAACTCAGCAGGAAACTGTCAGATGATAGTTTTTTTTAAACGAGCTTTGACCCTCCTCACAATGTTTTAGCTGAGTCAGAGGCTGACAGGTGTGAGCGTGGACGGATTATGGGACAAAGGGCCCCTTGGAGGCAGAAAACATGATGCAGGACCCTCATCCTGCAGGTGAACCAGAGCTCCGGGTGCTGCTGTCACTTTGAAATACACGTATCTGCAGTGTTTAGCTCCCTGTCCAAGAATTCCTGCAGTTACAGAATTTCTTCACTATTTTGGTTTCCAGTTAAAGCCAGTTTAGATCCTGCTTCCCGGAACATCTGAGCAGACGGTGATGTTGTCTGGTTTAAAAAAAAAACTTGAGAACACAGAATATACCAGAAACATGATGCAGGCTATTTGTAGGCAGGGCCACCCATCTGCTCCACTGAACAAGGTTCAAAAACAGCTGGACACTTATCTAAGCTTTTTGATAGAGGTCGGTGAACTCGTGGAATTTCTGAGACTTTAAAGACTGACGCAGAAAATGCTGAAGAATTCATTCCTAGATCTAAAAAAAACAGAATGTGAGGAAAACCTATTTCTCACAGTCTTAGTCTTTGGGTTTTGGACTCGAACACGAAATCAAAAAATTACCCAACACATCACTTGACCCACTTCTGATGATTTTTAGATGAAGCAACCGATCAATTAATCGAGAATTTCAAACCTTGGATTGAAAGATAAAAAAAATCCCTAATGGCAGCCGACACTCTCGACAAAGAAACACAAGTCCTTCATATGTGAGAGACGCTTCTCCGATCCAGCCTCCGTACTGACTTTAAGGGGATTTAAGTCTGTTGTGTGTTTGCGCTTGAAAAGTTATTCAACCTGCAGGTGGTAGAAAAAAAAAACTGTGGGCATTATTTCCCATTGAAGCCAAATTAAAAGGCACCTTTAACTTGCAGAAACATCTGCACATTGCTGCATGAATATGCTCATCATCTGTGAGTTCAAAGCTGAATGACTGGTCAAAATATTAGACTTTTGAATACCCCGTGTTTCAAAGAGATACAATCTCCATTATTTCAACAATCGATGGTACGGAGAATGGCCGAAGAGAAGAGAGAAAGCACCGTCTCAAAGGCATGAATACATAAGCAATGTTTCAGTACCGATGCATTTTTGCAATTTCGACGGTGTGAAGGAGTTTGCTTGCAATTTTGGTGATTTAAAACAAAAAACAACTCGGTATTCGGTGCTTCGGACTTCTATTTTTATTGCCGTGGTATCAAAACAGCTACCAATACCATTTGATTTTGACATCTATTATATTGAAGTTTAAAATTCTGGTATGGTGGAAAGCCAACAAAGAGCCAACATAAGTTTAATTTGTTATAACAGTCTACTATGAGAGTAATGATAATACTTTGAAGAGAGTAGTGTGGATTTGGGACACAGCTCTCGTTATCCTCTACACGTCGTGCTCGATAATCTGTGCACTTCAGAATAACTGAACAGCTCAGGAAGTCATTGCTTAAACTGAACTGTGTTTGGTTCTGTTCAGAGCAACCTGCTGTGATCACTGAGAAACTGAGAGAGGCCAGGTTTGTCAGGAGTTTGAGGGAGCGTGATCCTCAGCTGCACACGCTCGCCCACTGACCACAGACGACACACACACACACCATCACACACCGACCCACACACACCCACACGAAGTACGACTAGAGAAAAACAAACAGAGGTCAGAGCAGCTGACTCATGGTGTGGTGAGGTCGGGTCAGGAGGGGAGGTCATGACAAAGTTCTTTTTTTTGTGTGTTACCAGATGTAGTAGTTCCTTTTGTTAAAGACGTGAATGGTTACATAAGAGGAAAACGTAAAGAGTCATTTGATACTGAAAGACTTTGAATGAGAGAAAAACAACCCAGAAAGAGTTCTGTTTTTACAAATGTGCTTTGATATTATTATTTCAGTTATACAGAGTCTATATAAAGCAACAACAACAAAAAAACTCCCATAAAAAAGGAGAAGAAACAAAAACTGACCTTTGGTTGTTTGAATCCTGAAAAGAGGAATAAAAAATAAAGAGGGATTGTTGCATTGCAGGAGAGTTAAGCTGTTTTCTACGGAGTCCCTGAAGTCCCAAAAAATATTTTTTTATTAATCTTGTGCAAACAGGATCATTTCTGTGTGCACAAAACACAAATTTTATTTTTTTCAGACTTCAGAACTCTGTAGTTTTCACACATGCTGAAAACTTTCTCAGATGAGTTTCTTCACGTTAACTGTTGTTGCCTTTTTCCTGTTAGCACCCTGAGGAGACATTTCCGTTTGCAGTCAGGATGAGCTGACGTGTGAGCGCAGCAGGTAATATTCAGGAACGATTAAGCATGAGCAAGCAGGCTGAGGGGGGGGTGACATTTAAATTGTGAAACCGTAGAGTGACCAGTGTAATCTTGAGCAAGTAATGAAGTCACTTCAAACTCTTGTCTGCTCGCCTGGATGTTCTTTTCTCGCTCATTGGATGATTTGTGAATATGTCCAATCACACAAAGAATCGATGTAAAGGCAAAAAACTAAGTAACACTACAGTGTTACCGCTTCGTCTGCCATCTTGGAATGCCACAGGGTCCTTTTTTTTTTTTAAACGTCTTTCTAGAACATTTTCAGGTGTGCATGTGTGAAATCAGCTTTTGATACTTGAAGAAAAATAAAAGGAGGAGGGCAAAAAAAAGAAAAAGATGTCTTCCCTTTTGTGTCCGTTTCAGTGCCAGTTTCAGCCGCGTTGAGGTTAGCTGCCGTAGAGGAGGGAGTGCTGGAGGAACCTTAACTCAACAAAATGATGCATCTAGTCCGTTTCTCACAGTCAGCTCCGACCCAAAGTCCGCCTCAGTACATCACCGTCACACATCACACAGAAAAGTCTTTACACGTCAGGCAGATAGGCATTTCTTACATACGAGTGAGTACCGTTTTGAGTCCTGGAGGATTTTTTTTTTTCGAACACAACGTCACTCCACAAACCGACAGGATGACTAATTCCCTTTTAGTGAGCGACTTTCATCGCCGCCTCCTTCACAGGAAGTCCAGTTCCAGCGCTTGGTGCAGAGACACGAGGTCGCCGTGAGTGGAAATCCGCCAGAAAGGCATATTGTGCTGCAGAGAGACACACAAAAACAAACATTTTACAGGAGTGTGTGTGAGTCAGACAACATACGCTTAGCAGTCTGCTTGAAATGTAGTCAAACTGACAGTTTTAGTAAAAGCTTGATAGTTAGACTTGATTTCTGTTTCATTTCACATATTTTTCCTGAACATTTGATCAGAATACTCAAATTTACAAGTCTAGTGTTCATTTGTATTTGTCAAAATCCAGACGACTTGACAAACGTGAGTGTTTTGAAAAAAACAAAAAACAATCAAAATCAAGGTGGATTTGGAGGGAAAAGAAAGCTTGAAAAGTTTACCTGTTTTGCTGCAAACTCCTCATCTCGACCATCACCTATCACCACATAGGTCACCTTTTTCCCAAAGCGTGAGACGATCCTCTCAAAGCAACTCTCCTTCCCTGCATGAAAGACAACAAAGAAAACAACACATCATAGAAAGAAGAGAAGCGACAAAGCAGCTCCTTTAGATACTCAACAGTATTCAAGGTTTAACTCGCGTACCTATTTTGGTTGCGCTGTAGATGTTCTCGATGGGGAAGACGTCTCCCAGGCCGTAGAGAAGCACTTTGGCCAGAGCTGGAACCAGCTGAGTGGTGGTGACCAACACGTTCATACACTTCCCCCTGTTGGTGCAATGTGAGAGACACACAAGCATAAAGATGGTGGTAGAAAATAAACCTTCATCTTTACACTGAGGTCGATCTGTTAAAGAAAGTTAATCATATAAACTCCAGGATATGTATCTGAAACATGGTTGAAACTATTTCCTTTGAGGAGATTTTATTCCAGACTTTTTTTTAAACACAGATTAATCACAGCCTCGCTTCAACTTCTATCCTTATAAACAGTTTATTCAGTTCGTCATCAAACATCAACTCCAACAGTCACAGCACAAACACTCTGAATCTGAATGACTGTAATCTAACTACTCACAATAACTGTAGTTAAAGATATTTAATAACACGCTTTCTGGACTCAGACCTGGACTGGATGAGCAGCAGAGACTTGAGCGCTGTGCCGAGCCACGCGTCTGTAACGTTCTCGATCTCTGACCGCAGACGCAGAAGCAGATCTCTTTTCATAGGACTCAGTAGGCCTGAAAAAAAACAACAACATGCAAAATACTGAATCTTTTGTTTTGATTGAGCAGCTGTTATACAAACTCAAGATAACATGAATCAGATATATTATATCACCAATCAGGTAAGACATGATTATTCAGCATACTTCACTTTTTATGTCCTAAGTTGTATGTCCTAAATGTAACTAAGCGGTGCACCACATGATGGTTTGAATTGCTTTTTGTGTCATTTACAGCAGAACCCCCCCCCCCTCCACCTAACACAAAGTGTGTAACTACAGATGTTATACACTGATGTGAACTCACCTCCCACGTTCCCTTTGTAGCTGTTGTAGAGCTCTTTTAGACGGCGGTATCGAAAGGCCAGTTTCCGCATCCACTCCACCCCCCCCTGGACTCCTGCGGTGGTTCCTGAAGCCCCTCCACCACTGGGACCATTAAAGCCATCGGCCAGGAAGTTGTAGGTACTAAAGAAGGCAGAGACACTCCCCCAGTTACATTTCTGAAGAGGCCTATGAGTGTGTGACGAGGTCGTCATTATAACGTATTATAATAGTGAGTTACAGACCTCAGATCCTGTCCATTGTCGTCAGAGGCGACATCCTCCACGTGGACTTGATCACACTCCTGAAACAAACACACAGAAAAGGTTTCTATCACAAATGTGAATACTGAAAATGTAAACTCGGGCCCTCCCGGTGAGTACCAGCTGCCCGGCTGATAAACAAACAATGAATCATTTTTTCCTCTGCCAGTGCTACACGGGTGTGACTGCCTCTCACTGTACCTCCAGGTCGTTGAAGAAAAGGTGAGTGTCTGCCAGCTCAAAGATCAGCTCCTCCATCTGCAGGCCCAAGTTCAGCACTGTTGTCGGGTCCTGAACAAATTAAACACACACAAACAAAAAACAAGACTCAGACTTTTTCCCTTTTCAATTTGCATGCGTTAGTATTTTTTAAGTTTAAAGAAACGAACCTTGCCAAACTTCTGTGCGTAGGAGCCAGTGAGCAGGGAGTGGAAAATGATAATGGTCTCATCCAGGTCCCACAGGAAGATACGCTAAAAACAGCAGAGAAGAACAACATCCCGTTTCTTACTTTAATGTTCTAACAGACAAATGTGTAAAAGTTACCCTGCTGTCATTCTTCATGCGTTGAGTCCTGGTGAAAGTAGTCTTAAGGTAACAAACTTGGAGTTTTGTTCTAGAACAGGAGTTCCCAAACTTTACCATGCTGAGGACGTCCATATTAACCTGCAATTATCAAACTCAAGAGCCGAGAACACATTTGTTTATGATGAAGATAAATCAGCTGTTACCTCCAGGTCAGTCTCAGTAGGTGGAGCGTTATCGGGCTTCTTGGCTTTTCCTTTCGCTTTGCCAACAGAGTTCCTGCGTCCAACCTCGTCCTGATCTCGGGCTGCAGCCGGGAGACACACACCTGTTGGAAGAGCCGCACCTGCCGGAAGGTTCTCTGGTGGAGATGCGTCTGAGCACAAGAAATTCTGAAATTAGTACTGAATTATATATTTCTATGGTACAAAACAAGCTTGTAAAAAGACAACATTTCATGTGGCAAAGGTAGATAAAAGTATTAAACGCACCTCTGGGAGGCAGTCCAGCTGACGCAGCCTGCTCTGACTTATCAGCTGAATATCCGGCCGCTCCCACACCGGTGCCGTGGTCCTCGCTGCTGGGCAGGCCGGCAGGCACGTAGCTGGGAGGCAGAGTGTAGTACTGAGAGAACTGACTCTGTCCCAGAGAGTTATAGCTGTTAAATTCCTGCAGGAAGAAAAAAACAAAACAACTGCTGTGATCAACTGAAGATAGTTGGTGGAAGTAGAGCCACATTCAGAGGTTTGACAAATATCATGAAATGCTCTCCCTCTTCTATTGAAGTTCACTTTGAATCACAACTACTGCGATGCACTCTGGTTGTGTACCACATTGCGAGTTCGACCCCAGAGACAGAAAGTGAAATCATTCTTTTGGATCCAGCTCCTTTGAGTGTTTATCTGTTACACTGTGCTTGAATAACCATATCTGCCTAACCTCAGTAAAATGCAGAAAACCAGACAAACGCTATTGTTAATTCGTTATTATGCAATAATCCTCTTTAATATGAGACCTCTCTCTCTCTCTCTACAGCAGGTGTCAAACACGACTCACACATGTAAAGGGGGGGGATACGTAACTAGCCAATTACAGCCACTCCAGTTGCATCATTGAGCGGTGACTGTTGTCAGCAGCGCTCTCTCTCTCTCTCTCTCTCTCTCTCTCTCACATCAGAGGTCTTAGTCCGACATCACGAGTTGAACCGAGCACACACTCTGCAGCGGTTAACTTGAATGTCTTTGTGTGTCATTTTGTGGGAGGAGCTTCATTGAGTGTTTCAAGTTGAAGAGTGTGCAACGGAAGTTTAAAAACATAGGAGATGTCTTATTATGGATCAAGGGGCAATCTGAACTGTTGAGTATTTATTCTGCAATGTGTGTACAGCTGCTGCTGACCTGATGTCAGTTAAGAAATCAACAATAATCTTATTTAAAAACTCATTTATTGACCTAATTCTCTTCCTCTTTCTGTTGGACTAATCAACAGAAGAATGCTTCAGTTTAAACACAGAGGTCCAGTCTAACGTCCTCCTTACCTGATGGGTCGCTGTGGGGGGGGCTGTTGTGGCTGCTGTCGCTGACGGGATGCTGGAGTACACACTGGATGTTGTGAAGCTTGAGCCTGGAGACAGACACAGCTTAATTAAACTGTGCTTGAGGAGATGCAAAGTTCTTAAGAGCATTACCTCAGTGTGTCAAAAAGAAGAGAGGAAAAACAGAGCTTATTTGTGAGTGCTCCTCATAAAGCAGCGAATGTGTCAGCGGTTTGTTGTGAGACAGTCAGGTTGCAGGTTGGAGCTTGCCTTGGCTTGGGTATGAGTAGTGCAGATGGCCGGGTTGGGTTGAGGTATATGCGGTGCTGAAGCTGAGAAACCCAGGCTGGCCACCAGAGGGCGCCTCAGGCAACCCTGTCTCTGTTTTAATGCCTGGCCACATAGCACCTGAAGACGAAAGAGAGCAATAGAAGCAGAGTGAAGGAGGCAGCGATAGGAGGGGGCCACTGAAAATATGGCAAAGTTAAAGTTTCAGTCAAGGTGTGATTTTTTGTTTTGTTTGTAAGCAGCGTTTAAAAGCGAACTGATTCCACAGCGCCAAAGCACAGAAAAGCCTCTTAAGCAAAGTAACAGAGATGTGATGCTGGGCTTTTAGTGAGCAGAAACTGTTAAAATGTGCCGTTAAAGAGGAAAAAGACGGGACTAACCAAAGGGAGGGAGGCCGTAGGTCTGACCCGTCTGGGGGAAGGCAGAGTACACAGTGGACTGGGCCAGAGGAGGGAAGGCCACCTGGTTGGGGTACGACGTCACTGAGGGGCTAATAGAAACATGGAGAGAATGCATCGAATGAGAGAACAGAAATAAATCACAATGAAGACAAATCATTATTAATCCTTAAGGACTGATTATTTGGTATTTGACTCCCAATTCAATTAACACAAATCCAGTATTTAAAACCCCTTTTCCCCTCCTGTTACATTTGCTATTTAGACACACATTTACATCTACTTAAGTGGGAATTAGTAGCACTTAATATTCTGAATTGTTCAAGCTAAAGGAGCACTAACAATGAGTTGAGGCACAACCGCATGAAGTCTTATAATTGGTGCCTGGAACAATGAACAACATGTGGGAAAGTCAGGCTTCTGGGAAGCTCTGTTAGAGGTTCATAAAGTGGTAGCTTATGGTGCAAGTTGGAAATTATACACAGAGGCTCAAAGACACAAAGCAGTGTCTGGGTGAAAGAGGCTTTCTCCTCTCTGCATGCACCTGCAGCCGGCGCTCAGTGTTCAGAAGCTCCTCGATGCATCAAACTCAAGCAGGTTCCATCTCCAACAAAGTGCTGCATGTTGTCTAAATACTGACAATGGAAAGGTTTTTCTGCATCCTTGACCAAAGACATTTCTACAGACAATGGTGACGTTGTTCAAATTTTAAAAAATTGTGGTACTTTTCAAGACCACATGTTTTAAAACAATGCAGTCTCCATTATTTTAATGATGAAAAGTATCAAAACAGAATCAAAGCTCTAGACAGATATGCAATCATGTTTTTTTTCTTCTCGAAGTTGCAGCAAGAAAGAGAGGAAGCAGCGGTCCTGATAAGATGCAAACGGTTATGTTTATGTCTTTGACAAAGATGCACCATCTAAATCGCACAAAATGTTGCCAGTGTTTTCTTGCACTTTCTTGTAAGAAATCCCCCAATATTTAGTGCTAGGGCTCCTAGTTTTGTTGCTGTGGTATTTTTCTAGTATCCTACTTAGATTCTGGTATCGTGACAACCTTGGTTTGCACTTCACATCAGGTATGATGTTCTTTAATCGGCAACACATCTGAACATCATAAATCAAATTCTTTTTTTCCTTCCATGCAGTGTACTCACTTGCTTCCTTGATAAACCTGTTGGGTGTATTCAGGTGTGGCCGTCGTGTCTGTGGCTGTTAAAAAAAGACAACATGTCCTCAGTTTGGTAAACAGGAGCATCTTTTTTTTCTTAATCTTAGATCATGACTCTTCATGAGAAATGTTTCTGCTCCTACATGAATGTGCATACGAGTTCATGGAGTTGCTGCACGCTTGAGCTGCTGCCTGTTCATCTCCATCTTGCTGCTCCTGATCACCTACAATGAAACAAACTCTATGATTATATCACATTATATATATGATTGTATTTTCAGTGAACATGTATGAGGGCTGTCACTTTATACTTACTTGGCTCAAGTTGGGCTGTGGCCAGTGCAGAGTAGGTGTTCTCCTGCTCTGATGATCCTGGACTCCTATCGTCACCTAAATGCCTGGAGACAATAAAGAAGTGGTTATGAATTAAAGCAGACCTGCTGCAGGCCAAAGACAAAGGCCTCTTAAAAAGGCCATAGTTTAAATACATTTATTTAAATAATAGTCTGTTCCAAAACCAGAGTGTGCAAGGAGCCATTCCAAAGACAGAAAACAAATCTATATTCTGTGGACACTTACCGTGGCTCCTTCTCCAGTCCACCATCGATCTCAAGCTTTGCCTTCTTTGTCTGCAATGACACAACACAGTTTGAGATTAAAATATTCCAACAGATATCTAGTTCTTTCATGATGGCTCTTCTTTTCGTTTTTTTTTTTTAAATCAACGGTGTACAATCAAAATGAAGTCACTGTCACATCTTCAGAAAGCTAAATGAAAAGTAAACAAGTCTCAAACACATTCCCACAGTTTTGAGAATTCTTTCTTGGATTAGTTCCTGAAAAGGAAGGCAATCCTGCTTGATCCTGTTTTTGGTCATTCACCATGCAATCAACTGAAATCCAAATGAACTTTGATCGGCTAAAAAGAAAATGTACGACAATTGAAACCAGCAGCAACCTCCTGAACCTAAAATACTTTAAATGTTGAAGCTGATATAACAACAGTATCTTTGTTTAAATGACCTAAAATTCTTAAATGAAACAAATGCAAATTTCTTAAATAGTTTTGAATTAAAAAAGTGATCTGCAAGTCATTAAAACCTCGCACAATTTGTAAATGAATCTATTAGCATGCATCCCTCCACACTCTGAGTTGGCATCATTGTGGGTGGACTCACCGGCAGCTCAGGTAGGTCTTGCGAGTCATCCATCTCTGCAGCCGAGCGAGCCGACATGTCTGCACACACAGCCTACTCTCTGCACCTGGAGAGTGTGTCGGGACCCTGCTTCACACAGACACAGGGCAAACACACAGGGGCACAGGATAAATGGCCAGGGATGAGGCCTTATGTAGCTTTCTGAGGTCTGACTCTCCCCTCCCCTTGTCCCAAAAAAAAACGCTCACGGATGCATCGCTCGCTTGCTCCTATCGCGGGGGGGGGGATCAGCAGGTAGGTGGGCGCTAGGGAGGAAGTGGGGCACACAGGTATAATCTCCCGCACGAGATCTGCAGGTGAGGCACGTGTGGGACTGACGTTTCCTAAAGTCCCCCACCTTGCTTGTGTATATAGTAGGATTAAGGAAGCGTGCCATCTTACATGTGACTAACCTCCATTCAACGAAAACATATTCTTCAGGAGCATTAGGTGCTCGGGTGCAAGCTGTCGTATCAATAGATGCCTGTGGGGATAAGATCTAGCCTCCTTTTGTCCACTGCTTGCACAACTGGCCTTTCCTCCCACAGAGGGAGACATGGAACACAGAAAATAGGTCAGACAGCTAATTCAAAACCGCGTGAAAGTGCTAGGCTGCTGATAATTGTGCACGTTCTGAGTCAAAAGTGTGACACCTGACTTGGCACGGCCATCGAAGCATAGGTCAGCTTATGCAAGATTTATGAAAGTGAACTAAAAAAAAAAAAAAAGAGGGTTACATTTGGAGAAAAAATAAGGCCACAGAATGGTGATTTGCTGATAAATTAGCAACAAAAAGACTTTTATCAACGGCATGATTCTGAATAAGTTGTTCTTGAAGCGCTCTCAAGCAGCTGATTTGCTTTTAAGAGCTGCAAAATTAGTCAAAATATTATTGAGTTCCCGGGGCGCGGGTGGCGCAGTGGTTAGTGCGCGCACCTCATGTATGGAGGCAATAGAGCGCCACAGGAACGAGTCCTAAAACCCGGGAAGTTGTTAGCATTTGAGCGCCATGGGGTCTAACGTCTAAAAGTCAACGGGGATTTTGAATGTGTTTGTGGTTAGACTCCTGAAATAAGGTCTGTGGTTAACACAAGCTGAAGAGATGTTGGTGTTCTGTTAGACCACATAAACTACGTTAGGTAATACCTCCACTTGTGAATTTTGAAGTTTTTACTCGTCTTTAAAAAGGCGGTTGCTAACAAGCGGCTAAATGTGACTACAGTGGTTGTCGGGGACATTAAAGGTCATCACGCCGGACACAGAGGGCGGGAACTCTCTCACTAGTCGGAGATGTCTCCTGTAGGTTTAATCTTTAGGTTAAGGTGAATATTATGTTAATAAACTATTTATGAAGCTACGCTGATTAGTTTATCGGAGATCATATGAAGCATAACGCTAGTGACGTCACAATCATCCCACCGTTGTGTAGTTAGCTTGTAGCATAACGTTAGCTTTTTACTTCTGTCGGCCGCATTAACGCGTCAAACATCATAAAAAAATGGCGTTCATCTGTGAAGATTATCCTGCTGAACAAAACGCCTACGCTTCAGAAACGTGTGTTTAACACAGAGTTTCTTTTCTGCAATGATCCAAAATCCAATGAAAACATCCCATAGGTGAATTCTCGTTAGACCCCGTGGCGATGCTACTTCCAGGTTGGCCTACAAAAATACATCATATGGTTTGTTCTCTATAGTCTTCCAAGCGGGCGGCCCAGGTTCAAATCCCACCCGTGGCTTCTTTCCCGCATGTTATTCCCCACTCTCTCTCCCTGATTTCCAACTCTATCCACAAAAAAGCCCAAAAATATATATATATATATATATATATTATTGAGTTCCCAATATGGCCAATTGCAATATACAAATTGCAGAAGCTACAATGTTTGGCTGAATAAATGTGCGACAACAACTGCTTTAAATACGAAGTAATGTAGTTATGCAGAGATGCACCCATTCTGTTTTCAAGATAAGAAAATACATTTGTTACGCCCCCCCCCCAATATAATGGTAGGGGAAACACTGCAACGCCTCTGATGCACTGAGCTCGAAAGGTTTTCCAACAACCAAAACCCCACGGCAGAATTAAACATTACTGATGCAAACCAAAACATATCTGTGAAGACAATCTTTGTCTTATCGTCAACAGGATTTGCATTCAATTTAAGATTTCACAGATTTGAGCTAAATTAAGTTTAGACCCCAAAAAAGTTGCTCAGTTTTTATTTTTAAAGCCCTTTCAGGAAAAATCTAAATTGGTATACAAAAATGATCATTTGCGCTTATCGAGAGTCATATTGCATCATATAGTCAGTCAAAGTAGTCGTCTTCCCCCCCATCCTGCAGCCTTATTGCACGTTTAACCAACCAGATCCTCCCAGTTAACACGCACTGCTGCAGCTGCTTATCTTTTACGTGACAATCTTCAATTTATCAACCCAATCATCCTTCCAGCTGTTGCCCCTGGTAACAGAGCCGCTCACATTTAACTCTGCCAGCATCTCAACAACATTCAGGTACAATCACACTATCAGCGGAACACCATCACCCTTATTAAGGATCATTCATGAGTCTATGCTTCAGGTGACCGCTGTCTTATCCCACGTGGTGCACTATCAGATCGCTAACGATCGGCAAAATAAGAGATCAACCATATAAACATCTTACGTTGCCTAGGATTCCACTTGAAATAGGTTCTCGTCTTTTGGACAAAAGACAGTTGAGTGCTGTCCAGATACGTTCCTAAAAATGTTGCCTGAAATATGTAACATGGTACAGATTTCCTAAAAATACACATTATTTGGATACACTTGTCTGAGTTTAAAGAAATTGGTGTATTTAATATTTTCTACTATTAAACTGCAAATCTTGAAGAGAGGGACCCAGGCCCGGATCCGAGTACGCTTGACCCCAAAGCCCATTTCATTTGATCAATGTGAACACAAACAACCGTACTCGGGCACAGTGTCTGAGTCCACTTGAAGAGGTGGTCTCGGGCACGTTCAGGTGTACTTGAGTACTGTCTGCTCAAGATGTGAACGCATTTGTGCTCAGACAAGGAAGTGGACCGCTATAAGACGTCATTCGGCTCCGCTCTTGACACTTCTCATATCTGCACAGCACAGGCCCGTTTCATCCTCTGAGCCACACAATAGTTGTGGAAGTAGAGAGAGGGTTGCCTTGGTTCTTTCAAGTTTGAATTTATTGTGAAAAATAACTTTTTGTAAAGCAGATATACTTTCTCACTTAGCATGCATGCACACATTAGCATGCATGCACTGTTCTGATGCAGTCAGATGAAGCTTAAACTAACTATCAGATTAACTGATTGGTGCCAACTTAGTGGTGAAAAATAAAAATGTTTTTAGTCTTTACTTTGGATTCAGGAGAAACACTTTAAAAAAGGTATTTTGAAAGCAAATAAACAGGGACTACCCGTTAAAACTGTGAATTATAGCTAAAATGCACTCTTTAATGTTTATTTATCGCCCTTCATATTGTTATCGCACACCCCATATTTGTCTCATATCATACAGGCCTAAAAGATATCTCACATTTCAGCATCATAAGCAGACTGGTTGTTCAATTTTCAAGGGACTTATCGGTTTCATTTCTTGGTTATCTTAATGTAATGAACTGACTTGTTTACCAGAAACCTTAATAATAATTTACTGTGTGAAATGTTTGTGTGTTACAAATAATAATACAGATATAGTGCTTGTAAAATAAAGCTTTATCAAAAGATCAGCATAGGTTTGGTTTACGTTAGTTTAGTTCAAGTAATTAAGTTTCATGTAAATCTGAAAGAGGGTCCTCATATTGGTTCCATTAACCTTCGATAAAGCCTGAGATACAATGGATTTTATGCAGATTATGAATGCATCCATGATGATATAGACTTATGGAGCAGTTTATCTGTACTTGTATCATGTTTTGTATATTTGTATATGGAGCTGGTGACACTAAGAGACTGGACAAACTCATTAAGAAGGCCTGCTCTGTGACAGGCTGCACGCTGGACTCTTTTGTAGTAGTGACAGAGAGGAGGACTCTGAACAAACTGTTATCCATTATGGATAATCCTGATCACCCTCTGAACACCCTACTGGACAAACAGCGGAGCAGCTTCTCCAACAGACTGATACAACTCCGCTGTCACAAGGACAGACACAAGAAATCTTTCTTACCGAAGGCCATAACTCTGTACAACAGCTCACCTCATGTGAGCAGAGAACTGTCATCATGATAATATCTGTCTCTCCTTTACTGTCATCTGTTCTGCACATGTTACATTTACAAATTATCCCTGCACTCATGTTCACTTCATTTGTCTGTCTACTCGCCGTTATATTGAATAGTTTCTGCTTATAATATGTTTACACTCATGCACTTTAACTTATGTCAATACTGTCCATTTACAACTCTGTTTTATCACATTTACATTCAATCTTTCATATTTTATTTACAAACATTTATGACTCTGTTTTATCACATTTACATTTAATCTTCCATATTTAATTTACTAATATTTACAACTCTGTTTTTGCACCTTTACATTTAATCTTTCATATTTAATTTACTAATATTTACAACTCCGTTTTTGCACAATTACCTTTAATCTTTTATATTTAATTTACAACATTTATGACTCTGTTTTATCACATTTACATTTAATCTTTCATATTTAATTTACTAATATTTACAACTCTGTTTTTGCACATTTACATTTAATCTTTCATATTTAAGACCAGTAATGCTCAGTTAAATCCTGGTTGTATATATTCACATTCTTAGTTTTGATATTTTTAGTGCTTATTTACTTTGTATTTAATATTATATTATGTTTAGATTTGCTAACATTGTGTTTTTTACTCATATTGTGTGTTTCCCAGTTTGGGATCAATAAAGTAATTCTATTCTTTTCTATTTTCTATTGCTAAACCTAATCCTGGCATGTGATCCCCTCTGTGCAAACACCTCTGTGTGATCTATATAGTGTTTCTGCTGCAAACTGCAAGTTGTTTCCCTTTGGCAGACACCCAGGAAGCATCACCTGAAGGCATCATCCCCTCTGGGTTGTCTGTAAACTTTGACCGAACACAACAACACGCTAGCTGACTCCAGCAAATAACCAAGCCGAGGACAATCTGCTACAGAGGTGAAATGTGGCATCAGGCTATTTCCTGGACGAAACTGTAGTTGGAACAGCTTTTATTGAAAAAAAACCCAAGTGTTTGCACTTGCTCTGCGGTGAATCGTGTAAGAATATATATAAAACTGCAACTTACACCCGCAAAAAAAAAGTGCTTCGAGCAATTATAACAACATGAAACACACCGCCCCAGCATTTAGACGGCACCTTGGAGGCTTCCTAACACAGTGTTAGCATCCAAGCGTTAGCAGACAAGGTCGATATATTTACTCGCTTTGACGCATAATACTGTTGTCTGTTTCGCGTTTATGTTTAACAACTCGTGTGTGGTTAATTGTGGTTGATGAACCCAAGCTTGCTGTAAGTGGCTTAGTTTGTACAGGGCATGAAAGTTTTCCTCTCCAGGGTTTAGTCGGGTCCAGCAGCCATTGGAGTGGGGACTGAAATGGCATCGTGTAAATCTCACTTTCACTTCGCTTCCTGCTCAGCTAACTGCATAACACGCATTCCTCACTTATAGAAATAGTGAAAACAGGTCTTACCATTTAAGGAGTGTGTTAGAAAACGCTTCAATTAAAGCGTCTGCAATTTTAAATCCACAGTGTCAAGCTTTGTCCGTTGTTAGGGAGCTGTCGTTGCTGTGCCTTAGTGCGCATGCGCGAAATGTGTGCATTCACTACTGGGGGTGTTCGCTCCTCGGCGCGACGGAAGACGACAGGTGTGGCGGTTCATTAACACAGGTGAGAGACAGGACTGCAAACATTTGCTGTTTGAACAGATGAACCCTGTTGTTGAATGTTGTCAACTTTGCACAAAGGGTGTGCTTCTTCTTGTGAATTCATTTCAGTGTGAAACAACTTGTAGGACTTTGAGTTGTTTACTTTTTGGCTTGTTTTAAGATAACTGGGGTGAGGATTCTCACTGTTAAATATTGTTCTTATGTTGTTATTTGGTCATGGATACAAGAAAACAAACAAAAAAGAATTTTTAAAGACAAAAACACACAATTTGAAAAAGCCAGGCAAGCTGTTTCCGCCTGTTAACATATTTTTTACACTAAGCCAGGGGTTCCCAACCTGTTTAACCAAGCCTGCTCCCAGTAGATCACACACACACACACACACACACACACACACACACACACACACACACACACACACACACACACACACACACACACACACACACACACACACACACACACACACACACACACACACACACACACACACAACTGGACAATTCACTCTGACTTTGTGCAATAATAATGTTATATTAATGTTATATTATCACTATCATATATTGTTATCTGTGCAATAACATGTTACACTTTATGTGCATGTCTGTGTTACACTGAATATTACAGACTACATGTTTGTCAATAGCTGATCTACTTTTTATTTTTAGTATCTATTTTTTAGTATCTATTTTTTGTACATTCTTAATTTTTATTTATTTTGTATTTAAATTGTACTGTTTTCACTTTTTCTTTGCAATCTTTGCTCTTTGCTGCTGTAACAATGTAAATTTCCCCATTGTGGGATAAATAAAGGATTATCTTATCTTTTCTTTTCTCTGCCAGGGACACCATAACTATTCTCTTGCTAAATTTCTTTTTTCCTGTACATTACAATGGCAGATATAAAAAATCAGACATTCAACATCTTAACATTTCCTTTGTTTATTAACAATTAATAATCTTGCTATTCATTTATTTCATTCACTATATTTTGGTAAACAGTCTTGTAATTTCTGATTTAGCACAGACTTTAATATGTAATTACATCTCAAATGACATATTGTAAAATTGAATTTCACAAATTATGTTGTAAATTGATTTTAATTGTATGGTCCTGGGACCCCCCTTGGGCCCCTGGCGACCCCCACAGCTGCAGCCTGTCATCAGTCTGTGCCATGTACAGTGGAGGACAAAGTACACCACTTAATTACTTAAGTCAAAGAAAAGATACTCCTGGTTGTCAAATATGGCTGCAAGTGAAAGTTGCTCAGTCACGTTATTACTTGAGTTAAACTTCTAGAGTACTGGCTTGTATAAATAATTAAATATTCACGAGGCACGAGTGCAGTCAAGAACATTCTCACACATTGAGAAAACATTCAATTGTTAATCAGCCATTTCAGGATGTGCAAGGCCTCTTGAACTCTGCCATTAAGCAGGATTTCCTTATTCCTGGTGTTACTAAAGCCCCCTTGCTTTTTGCTTTTTTTTTCTCTTCTCTATAGCGTTGTTCTCATCCAACATATACTAAAACATATTAAAAAGAAAACGGTTTCTTCATCCATGGAGACACGCAACGTACAGGTATGGCAACACCACTAAGACAAACTATACACAGAACAATATGAACCCAGCTTATAGTCTTTAGGATCATATTTCAGGGAAAAAAAAGAAAATGTATCTGCTAACTTCTGAGCAAAAGTAACAAGAACATTCATTGAAATGTTGTGGAGTCAAAAGTAAAGCTCAATAATATTTTAGTACATTTACTTTGTTACTGTCCACCTCTGCTCCTGAATGTATTATTAATAGAATAGCACATAAAAACAGCACACTTTCCTTTAATTTAGAGATTTTATTTGTCATTTCTGACACAGATTACAGTTCAGTATTTCACTTGATCATGTAAATTATTTTCTTTTTACAGTAGCAGTGGCATGAAAATAAATATGCATAAAAAATACAAAACAAAACAAAAATTCATGCTTCCAAATATGGAAGAAAATTATAGAGAACTGTGTGTTGCCTTTTTAAGTTTTCAGCAGGCTTGAAGTTGCACCCTTCGTATGCATTGAATGTTAAGAATGAACGGGGTTATTAACCAACCAACTCCTTTGAGTGAAGATTCTCCTTAATAAATAATGAATATCAGAATCAAACAATGTACACATGATTATAAGTCCTTCAGAGCTAACAGCTTATTGCACTTTCCAGAACCACGTTGTGCAGTAGACCAGTGGCTTAACACTGTGTCTACTCCATCTAGTGGTTCCCCTTCAGGTTAATGAAGCACTGTTTTTTTTTTTTTTTTAAACGCAGATTCTTTTCTATCAAAGGGAACAAAAGGTTTGTGGTAAAGAGATATGTACATCGAGTATATGTGGATCAGGCCGCCTTGGACAGGCACAAGACATTCACAGTTCTTCTCTACATGATGCATAAATAGAAAAAGAAAACATTTGTAATCTTATTATTTTATATCTGGAGTGTTTGCAAGAAAACAGCAACCACTTAAATTCAAGAAACAACTTGATATAGAGTATTTGCTATCACTGATGTGGGCCTGTTATTGCTGGTTGATAGCTCTCCTGATCAAAAGGAAAAGCTGTCCATTAAACAATAGATAAACACAGTCACTGGTTGTAAGTGAGAAAGGAATGGAATAACCAAAACAAGAATGTATTGCCTTACAGGACATATCATTTAAATTAAATCTATTATATTCATATATATGAAACATGTATAAGATGTAGAGCAGAGAGAGAGAGTCGATGAAAACAGTGAAAACCTTTGAGATTTGCTGTAAAATATGTTACTCTTCTACACAGTACAGTCGAACTTTGATCTTAAGTTTAAGAGGACAAACGAGTTGAAAAAAGTATTTCTGTTGAAGCATCCATTGTTACCTGTTTGGTCCAAGAGCCACTATTAGTGAGCAATAACTAAATGCCATTATTTCTTTGTCCTAAACCGAGATATGACGATAAAACAAGGAAAGATATGCAGCTCTGTGATCCAAAGCAGAATGTCTCACTTATCTCAACCCTTGTTTCCTCAAGTGCAATTGAGCATTCACATGAAAACAACAATGCGTCATGAATTTAAAAACAAAACAACATATGCAGACGCGTGTTGAAGGCATCAACCTTAACGGCTAGTGCTCTGGTCAACAGTCCAAGCAGGTCAAATGAAGTTGTGATAAAAAAAAAAAAAGTGCTGTTGCCATCCAAACTGCCTTTCGAACCTCAGGCACTTCTCTTCACCTTGAGCTGTGCGTTCCAGAGCTAACGGAGAGGGATTTTTATGATCCCAGAGTGCATCGACACTTGGCACGCTTTTATTAATTGTTCTGAGTGGATGAGGCAGAAGATCGGGGCTGGTGTTGTCGTAATATAAGAGGCCCCCCATCTGCACATTTTTCATGCACAAGATCCCTCAAGCCTCACCCCCCCCAAAGTGCTCACGTCCAGTTTGTGAGTTAGATCCTCTTTTCAGGCTGTGTAACGACCCTCAAGCAGGATCCTCTGGTGCGGTCCCTCAGTCAAGAATAAGACTCAATCCAGAGTTTTCATCCTGTTCTTTTTTTTTGTGTGTGTGAGTTCCCAGGACAGATGTTTGCCTTCATGTTCACATAAAGGAGTGATCTGCTGGAGGCCCGTACGAGAAGCCTGGAAAAGCTCCGGCTGCCTCCTTGACGCTGCTCGTCACGGTCAGGCTGTCGTTGCACAGAGACGAGGTGACGGGCATGTGGGTGAACTCGGGGTCGAAGTGTCGCAGATCTGTGGGGCCGCTCTGTGAAACCAGACGAGGAAGGACAGAATTTAGGACATTTGCAAAAAAAAAATATCTTTACGCATAACAAGAAATAGTTTGATGGTTAGATGGGTTTTCTTAGTGACCTATGAACACGTGATTAAAGTTCCTCCACACTTAATCAGTAATAAGTCATTTGTTTTGTTAAGTTTTTTAAACAAACAACATTTGGAGCCACCTGATTGGCTCTGGAAAACCGCCATTGGCATTTTTCTTAGCTTGCATGTAACACATCACTTAACTTGCTACCTTTGCAGACAGTCATGTACGATTGATATTTTCTTAATAAACTGATACTTAAGATTCAAGGTTTGAACTCACCACTGAGGGAATGAATGGAGGTGTGATCTTTTTGGCCATCAGGTCCTCCCAATTGATTGGAGAGAAGAATGAATGGTACTTGAGCTCAAGCTGGAGGGGGAAAAAAAACATTTCAAATTAGCACACAAACTCATAAAGTCCTAGTCCCTTAGTATGTCTAAAAGGTCATCTGTTCAGACTTACAAAGTCATCCTTCGATCCCAGCCTGTTGGTGCGGTCCTTCTGCAGGAGCCCCTCGAGCATCTCCCTGCCTGAGTTGGACACGTTGGGCTTGAGGACTGGAGCCTTGTGCAGGATGTTGTTGTACATCTCGGCTGTGTTGCGACTGTAGAACGGAGGCTGGAAAAGCAAATTAATCTAATTTAGCACATGAAACAATCAGCAAAGTTTCAAAAAGAGGCGTAAAGTCTGGGAATGCACTTACAAGTCCATAAAGCATCTCGTAAAGCACAGATCCAAGGCACCACCAGTCCACGGTGCGGTCGTACGCCTGCTTCTGGAGAACCTCAGGCGCCAAATACTGAAAGGAAACCAGCAACAAAGAATTAACTTACATCCAACAATTTGAACGAGTGCCTTTTCTGTATTTATATACTGTGGATGTGTTTTGTACCTCAGGCGTCCCGCAGAAGGTTGTTGTAGTGCCGTTCGCCTCAACGCCCTCTTTGCAAAGTCCAAAGTCTGTGAGGACGATGTGGCCCGTTGAGTCCAACAGGATGTTCTCTGGCTTCAGGTCCCTATTTAAAAAGAAAGCTTTAAAAAGGTTGCTCCCATACACTTCTTCCTTCTGTTCAGCTCTACACGGGTCATGTTGACAATCGTCCACTAGGGGGTGCTGTAGGATCACCAATTACCTGTACACGATGTGCAGAGAGTGGAGGTAGCCGAGTGCACTGGCAATTTCCGCAGCATAGAACCTGGCTCTGGGCTCCAGGAAAATCCTCTCTCTCTGGAGGTGGTAGAACAGCTGGAGAGGAGGCGGGACAAACATCTGTCAACACCTGATGGAAACCCTTTGATGTAATGACCTGATTCTAGATGTTCAATGTTCAAAGATTTACCTCTCCGCCATTGACGTAATCAAGTACAAAGTAGAGTTTGTCAGTGGTCTGGAAGGAGTAGTGCAGCCCCACCAGGAAGGGATGTTTGATGTTCTTCATCAGCACACTGCGCTCTGCCATGATATGCTTTTGCTGGAAGGAAAGTATGGAAGTTAATTTAATCTTTCATCACAGTGACGGTTCAAATACTGACACAGAAGCAAAATGTCGACCCCCCTGGACGGAACCCCCGTCTTACCTCTTTCTTCTTCATGATGATTTTCTTCTGTAGCACTTTGACAGCGTAGTAATTGGTGGACTCCTTGTGTCGAGCCAGCAGAACCTGTCATAGAGCAAACATTTGCATGAGTCATGGTGTTGTGGATGATAGACGTGAGAAGATAAGAGAGGTTATAGCAGAGGAGGCGTTTCAGTCACCTTTCCAAAACTGCCTTTGCCGATGATCTTGAGGTAGTCAAAGTCGCATGGTTTGATCCTAATTTAAAAAAACAAGAAAGATAATTTAGTTTTTTTTGTGGACACTGCACGGGGACAGCACTTCTTGCCATGTATATTTATAAGTAGAGTTCTTTTTAAAGTCAACTTACTGTGTTTCTTCAGCCAGCGAGCTTCTGGAATTTAGGCACATCTGAAAAAGTATGGAATGAGGAAATACATGAATACGTTGCCACATACAGAAAATGAGTCAGATAGAGAGAGGAAACGTACTCTGCTTACCGGAGTTTCAGGAAGTTCATTATCAACCTCCTCGTTCTGATTCTCATCAATCTTCAGGAAGTTGTTCACTTCGACACTGGAGGAAATGAACACAGAGATGGTTAGCATTGTTTGTTTTTTTTAAATCAGCTTTAACCTGTTTACCTCATGGGCGTAAAGTTTGTCTAGATTAAAATCATCTAAACTCTTGTTGTATTGCTCTAATCACAGAGAGCAGTTTGAGAGGCTGTAAAGCTAAAACGGATGCTCCCTGGTGGATTGTGAATGACCGTCTGAAACATCCAACCAGGTCAAGTTTAGGATGCGATCATCTCCTTTTAACCTGTCTGAGAGAAAAAAAGCTTAAGCCGCTGACCCACAACGGGAGGGTTCAGGCGGCTCTGCAGGACTCAAGAGGTCCCGCTCAGGCGCCCTCTTCCTTCTGAAACATCTGAAGGGGACAGATGCAGGAGCGATTTTTTTTCAGTCCTGACCTGGACGGCTGTGATGGTTACGAGCCATGTATCATGTAACGACTGAATTACCGGTTTATCCTCGTCTAGGGGACAGAGAGGATTTGCTGCAGGGGTGATTAGGCATGTAGAGACACTGCTTCTGGCTCGTCATGACACAACTATTATTACCCTGGTTTTCTCGGACCCAGATTATTTCTCCGCACAGATTGTCCTGCCA